CCAACCAAATCTCTGGCTTTGATTTAGATTTTGTTCTGATTTTTGCCCCACATCTCCTATCTCTGGCCTTCAGGAGCACAATGGCCTGGGCTAGGGTAAACCCACCATGCCCTGTCCTCATTCTCCTCATCCTCATACTTTGCTAGTGATTTGCTTGTTGCCCATCACTGGCTGTCTAAATGTCTTCACTGTTTTTCATATCATATTCATCCATGAACCACACAGAAGCTTCATGAGTTTTTTCCCGTCTACCCACTTACTTGGCCATCAATTTCAGTCGTCCAGCTACAAAGAAATTGAAACTTTCTTGAGTACAGGACACTGTCTCTGACTAAATCCTCTATCACTTCATTGAAGCCTGTGTTCCTTTAGCTTTTGTCTTTTTGTTGTTGTTGTTGCCAAATATCCCTTTTCCTCCTTCCTAATCTCTAATTTGTGCTGCTTCTTCAAGAATCTTCATCTCCTACAAGAGTGTAGTCATTACTCCCAGGCAGAAGGTGGCTGGCCTCTCACAACTGCTGAAGCCGGTAGAAGTTCTTGTTTCCCACCTTCCCACCATTCCCCAGGCTGATCTGTTAGGACTGGGTTTAAGTATAGCCTAAGGAAAAGGCTAGACATCAGGGCACAGGAGGATGGTCAGTGGTAGGAGGGAATCTTCTGGATATGCCTGAAAGAGGGAAGGAGAATTGGAGCCATGAGAGTCAAGGCCATTGAGAGATGCATAAAAAGTAGTATGTACTTCAGCCTAGAGGTAAAGCATAGTCCCACTTTATTTCCAATTTTAAGACTCAGCAGAGAAAAGGTATCTCTGCAGGGAAGGAAAGTAAGCAAACAGCACAACCAGGTAAACCAGGCAGTCTAAACATACCTTCCTAGGTAAGCAAACCAGGAAGCTCAGAGCTCACAAAAGCAGAAGGCTGAGCATGAGGTGTTAGAAGTGTGGACGAAAGGGGCCACATGCTGACCTGACAAGTTTAGGAGAGGCCTGCATGGCAGTCTTGCAAACTCGGAGACCTAAAGTAACCACAAAGGATGGTCTGAAATTAAACTTTAACTAAAAGCAGTTATGGTGGGCAGTTACGTCCTAGGCCAGTATCTTCACTGCTTATCCAGTCCCAGAGGTTTCCCTGCTTTGCTTATCCCTCCTCCTTAATCTATCACCAATGAATTTCATGTAACCCACCTATGTTCCTCCTTTGATTGGAATGTATAAATACAGATGTAACCCCGCCATTCTCCGGAGCACTATTTCAATTCGTTGAGGTTCTGCTTCCCGGCATATGTCGACAGTTTGGCTCAAATAAACTCACAAAAATTCTTTACATGTTTCAATGGTTTTTTTTACGTTAACAGAAGGAACACTCATGGGGAAGGAGGTGGGACAACAAAGTAAATGTCTATGAGCTCACACAGGATAGAGAGGACAATGAAGGAGAGCTTCATCTTCATGCTATCTCTGCCCCAAACCCTAATGGAGGAGGAGAGAGAAATCTATCTAGAACCTCAGGCAACTCATGACATCCTATTAGACACTTGCAGCAGATGGGAGGAAGTGGAGGCAGAGCCACTTTGATCATGGGAAGTCACAGTGCAGAATACAATCTGGGCCATTTACTGGAGAAGATTGACATAATTTGCAGGGAAGAGTCCAAAGTGACCGTGGCAACGTCCCCGCCACCAGCCCTCGTCCACCATCTCAATGTCAGTGATGATGTCATCTGGGTCAAAGGAAATCTCATCACTTCCCTCTGGAGAGGAAATTGACAGGATATTAGGACGGTTAGACAGGTATCTCTTTATCCCTATACCCACTCTAAACCTCAGGAAGAGAAATAGCCCTGGTCTTCTTGATGTCAAGTCTGGACACTTCTGTGACCCTCAGAATTCATCCCTCTCTCTTGTTTCAAGGACCTTCAGACACTAGACCCCTCAGGTCACTCCCAACTTACCTCCTTGGTAATCATACAGGGCTCTCGCTGAGATCCCAGCCCCAGCCGGACAGCCTGATGATCCTGCATGATCAGAAACATAAACACGGTCTCACCAACATGCAAAACAAATAGGTTCTTCTGGGTAATGGGGCAGTGCTTCCTTTTACCCTCCCTAAGACCTGACCAAATTCAGGAGCTGATTCTCCCTTCTACCACTCACCAGCCACAGGGGAGGGGGATGAGGCATCTTCAGGTTCCAGCACATCCTCATAGTCCCCTTCTGGTTCATCATCTTGCTCATTTCTGTCCATATGTGCAACATCCTCATAGTCATTCTCAGGCTCTGGCTCTGGCTCCAGTTTAGGCTCAGGCTCAGGCTCTGCTTCATATATAGGCTCTGCTTCATACATAGGCTCTGCTTCATACACTGGCTCTTTCTCCACCTGGAGGCCTTCCAGAGTCCTGGGGGGCAAAGCTGGGGCCTCCTCATCATCCTGAGGAGAGACAGTGTGGATCAGGGTAATCTGAATTCACCAGGAGCTGCCGCTCCAAAACCTTCCATTGGAGGACTGCTAAGACCACACCCATCACCATCCTACCACTTCTACCCTCTACCCTTGCTTCCATTTAACAGCCTCTCCTAGGACACACAGTCATTCATCCACTCTTCATTCCTCAACCTCCACATCTACCCACCCACTCAAAACAGATGATAGAAGGGGAATGTAAAAGGTTTGAAGAAAGGGAAGTTGGAAGCAGATTCCTTGGAAGACCAAGAAAACATTGAAGCAAAAGCATATTATTGGGAATACCACAGCTAGGGTGACCAGCTCTCTTAGTCTTCCCAGAACTGGGTTGTGTCCCAGAATGTAGGACTATAAATTTTTTTTCCTCTTAAAAGAAGTGACTCTTTTAATATCTATATAATGATTTCAGAGAGGAAGAAGAGGGAGTGAGAGACAGAAACATCAATAATGGGAGAGAAACATAGA